ACATAATCTAATAAAAAAAATGGCATACAGACATAAACAGAGAACTCTCAACAGAGGAATCTAAAACGGCTGAAAGACACTTAAGGAAATGTTCAACATCTTTAGTCATCAGAGAAATGTAAATCAAAACAACTCTGAGATTCCATCTTATACCTGTAAAAATGGCCAAAATCAAAAAAACTGATGACAATTTATGCTGGGGAGGTTGTGGGGAAAGGGAACACTTCTGTATTGCTGGTGGGAATGTAAGCTGGTACAGCCCCTTTGGATGTCAGTGTGGTAATTTCTCAGAAAATTAGGAAACAACCTTCCTCAAGACCCAGTAATACCACTTTTGGGTATATATCCAAAGGATGCTCAATCATGCCACAAGGACATGTGCTCAGCCATGTTCATAGCAGCTTTGTTTGTCATAGCCAGAACCTGGAAACAACCTAAAGACCCCTCAATCAAAGAATGGATAAGGAAAATGTAGTACATTTACACAGTTGAGTACTACACAGCAGAAAAAATAATGACAGCTTGAATTTTGCAGGAAAATGGATTGAGCTAGAAAACATTATTTTGAGTGAGGTAACCCAGACACAGAAAGACAATTATCACATGTACTCACTCATAGGTGGTTTTTAAACATAAAGCCAAGAAAACCAGCCTACAAACCCCAAACCCAGAGAACTTGGACAACAATGCTGACACTAAGAGAGACTTACATAGATCTAATCTACATGGGAAGTAGAAAGTAGAGAAAGACAAGATGTCCTGAGTAAATTGGGAACATGGGAACCTTGGGGGAGTGTTGAAGGGGGGAGAGGAGAGGCAGGGAGGGGAGCAGAGAAAAATGTAGAGCTCAATAAATATCAATTAAAAAAATAAAAATAAAAGGAAAAAAGTTGGTGTGGTCATGGTGTCTCTTCATAGCAACAGAACACTGGCTAAGATATCAATCTTGAAACATTTATTTATAGACTGAAATTAAGTCTTGAAGTTTTCTAATGACATTCAAAGGCCCAACTTTAATATCATTCTATTAACCTGAAATCAGACAAGTCAACTCACCTGCTTTTAGAAAACCAAACTTTTAAACAAAAAACTTGTGTGAGAATCAAAGAAACAGAAGTCAATACAACTTCTCCTAGGAAAGCAAATTTGTGTTAATACAAGAAAACCAATTTTAAAAAAATTTAAGGCAAAAACATAAGTTTGAAGCCAACGTAGGCTCTGGCCCAAAACTCAAAAAGGAGAAACAAAAACAAACAAACAAAAAACCAAAGAATACATAATAATTATAGATGCAGAAAAAGCAATTGGGAAAACCCAGCAATATCAGGATAATAATCCTTAATAAGTTAGTAATAAAAGGGAACGAACGTCATCAAACCTGATAAATCGTAACTTTGCTCTTAAAGTAAGAAACACGACAAGGGTGTCCACTTTGCCAGTTCTGTACAATGCTGTGCAGGTTGTTCTAATCATTTTATTTAGACAGGAAAAAGAAACAAATGGCTGAATTGGAAAGAAATAAGATTCTATTTTAAGATGACAAGATCCAATATATAAAACATTCTGGGCTGGGGCTGGAGAGGTGGCTCGGTGGATAAAAATGCTTGGTGAATTAGCCTGACGATCTGAGTTACATCCTTGATCCCACAGTGGAAGGAGGAAACCAACTTCTCAAGTGAACTTTGACATTTCTAGTCAATTCTATGTGCCACATGGTAGTCTTTAATGAGTGGTAGTGGGATAGTAGGTATTCATATGTAAAAAAATGAAGTTTGACACATTAGCTCAAAAAGAATGGTAACTCTAAATGTAAAATTAACACTTTTAAGACTCAGAACGTATAAGACAAACACTTGTGGCCTTGGATTAGGTAATGGCTTTTCAGACAATAGCAAAAGCACAAACCACAAAAGTATATAAATAATGGGTTTCATCAAATTTAGGTCTATGCTACAAGCTTCAGAAACCATTAAGAAAGTGAAAAGCAGGGCATGGTGGCACATGCCTTTAATCCCAGCACTTGTGAGGCAGAGACAGGCAGATCTCTGAGTTCAAGACCAGTCGGGTGTCCAGAGTGAGTTCCAGAGCCAGAGCTACAGAGGTCTATGAAACTGGCAAAGTATCTGACAAACATCTTCATAAGACAGACCCAACTAGCAAACAGGCACATGAAGAGAAATATCAATATCAACTTCTGAGGAAATTCAAGCCACAATGAAAACCACATTACAACTACTTGGGAAAGGAACAAAGTGTTAGTGAAGAACACTGGACCCTTCCATATTTGGGGATGAAAAATAGTACAGCTGCTTTGGAAAACACTTTGTAGCTTCTCGAAAGTCTAAGCATAAAGCTAGCAAGTGATTCAGGAATTTTATCCCTAGATATACATCAAAAGAAATGAAAACACAGGGGCTGTAGAGATGGCTCAGCAGTTAAGAGTACTGGCTGTTAGTGAGGACCCGGGTTTAATTCCCAGCACCAACATGGCAGCTCACAACTGTCTGTAACTCCAGTTCTAGGGATCTGACACCCTCACACAGATGTAGACAGGCAAAACATCAGAGTACATTAATAAATAAATCTTACAAAAAAAAAGAAATGAAAACATGTACCTACAGAATCCTGAGAACAATTGCTCGTAGCAGAAAAAAACAAAAGTCTTCCAGCTGAAGAATGAATAAATATGGTTTTATTATTGCTATTAATACTATTCAACAATGAAGAGTCTTGCCATCAGGCTAGCTGAAAAGTTCAGTCTCGAAGAGCTCACATTGCACGTTCCATTTATAAGAGAGGTGATGAATACGCTAATTTATACACGGATTAGGCTAATGGTTATCCAGGATTAGAAAGGGATTTTTGGAGTGGGAAGACTTGAGAGTGACAGCCATTATGCATCCCTTCTGTTTTATTGTTAATGTTTTTAATTAGTAGCAATCACGTAAGAGTTGGCTGTCATAGAGGCAGCTCGCGTGAGGCCAGGAAGCCTTGCATTGTGCTCTGTGCTTCCTAGAGAGCACAGGATGGCTAAAAGTGACCCCAAGAGACCAAAAGGCTTATGGCTGCTTATGCACCCTTTATATAGAAAGGTAGAGAAGATCACAGAAGAAAAGCTAGATGTTCTCAACATTGCAGGATTTCCTAAGTGCTCTGAGAAACGGAGACAATGCCTGGGCGGGAAATTTAAAACTGATGAAATAGCAAAGTTGGACGAAGCATGCTGTGGGCCAGTGTGCAGGAGGCCTGAAGATTCGAAAAGGCCACTATTGCTGCCCACAGATCATTGTCTGAATACTTCTTTTGTTCAGAATTCAGACCCAAGATCAAAGCCACAAATCCTGGAATCACTAATGTAGACGTGGTTAAAACAAAAGAAAACAACAACAGTTGAGTGAGACGCCGAACAGCTTAAGCAGCAGAGAAAAGCAGCCATGCAGCAGTAAGGTGGTGAGGCAGAGGGAGACATACAAGGACGATCTAAGAACAAGTCAAAGACAGTCTCACGGTAAAAAGGGTCTTACTGAATTTGTTCACAAAAAGGTGAAAGAACAAGATGAGGAGCGGCAGCAAGAGGAAGGAGGGAAAACAACTATTTTATTTGGCTTAATTTCTTTGAGTCAGTCTCACGTAGACCAGCTGGCCTCAAACTCCTGATCCCTCTGCATCAGCCTCTCCATAGTACTGGGATTATAGGTATGTACCACCACGCTCAGCTAAAAAATGTTTATCTGTCTTCTTGCAAATACCATAGAGGGGAGAGCCATGATCCAAACATCTTATCTGAGTTGTGTTTACTGTCTTCATTGGGTTTAATGTAGAATCTGGTCAGTCCCTTCCCCCCAGCTTCTCTTAGCCTTCAGTTTACTTAAAGTGGACACATATGTCTGGCGCTCCTGAAACTGTATCAAATTTGTACATGTTTCCAAACATTTTAAAATGAAAAGGTACTCTTGTGTTCTCCTTACTCTGCAATTTGCTTTTAGTATGACAAGGCATTTTGAAGATGTTTCTGGCATTTTGCTTTCAGTTTGTGACGTGATATTAGCATGGTTACCGGCTGAAGACCCTGAGTTGAAAACTGTAAATATCTGTAGTTTGTAAAGTAAACAAAAACAAAGTCTTGATGCTCCTTGCTTCGCATGGGGAAGATCCCTTTTGGAAGGGCTGTAGCTCAAGGTGTGCACCGTGAGGCTAAATCTGTTGACACAGGGATGGCTCCCAGTAGCTTCAGGTTGTCTTGCTGTTTTTCTATGTGACACAGCATTCTGCTGACAATTTTTTAGCTGTGAAAAAGAGAAGCTAGCATGAGAAGTGTTTGGTTTTTTAAGTTTTGCAAAGTAGATATACATTAGTTTTTAGATAAACTGCAGAATTCTTCATTGTTAGCAAAGAAACATCAAATCAATGCATGTTCAAGAACCTTCTGTACCTAAGCACAATTTTTGTATGTTTTAGCTGCAGTGTTTTTGAAGCTAAAAAATTACATATTAAAAAAGTCACATTGCAGGGAGGTAGTAGTGCATGTCTTTAATCCCAGCACTCAGGAGGCAGAGGCAGGTGGATCTCTGTGAGTTTAAGACCAGCCTGATCTATAACAGCTAGTTCCAGGTCAGGCTCCAAAGCTACAGAGAAAAACCCTGTCTCAGAAAAATCAAACCAACCAACCAAACAAACAAAAACAAAAGAATAAATTAAAAATCACATCAACTGGGAGCTGGGGAGATGACTCAATGGTTAAGGGAACATAATGTTCTTGCAAAAGACCTGAGTTCAATTCCCAGCACCCACATCAGACAGCTCAAAATTCCAGTTCCAGGTGATCTGATAGCCCTCGGACTCACCCCCTGATAAATAATAATTAAAATTTAAAAATAAAATGGCTTAAAAAAGATTTTTTTAAAAAAAATTACATAGACTAAACTTTAGCATTGTACACATTTTAAGTGTACAGTTCAGCAAATAAGCATATTCACACTACTTTCTAATCACTTTTAAAACAACTAGTTCCAGTGGCTCATACTAAATGTGAGACAAGTTTGGTATTCAACTTTCCGTGCTGGTCCCAAGGCAGATACCTAGCTATAGACAGTTACTATGTGGGGCTGGTTTCCTTCAGCTAATAGTACATCTTATACACTTGAACAGCTTTCCTGAATCATTTTTAGTGGTTGATTGTAAAGGAAGGTGGAAATACTACCAGTCATTGGCACTGATTTCAGACTCTTATTGTAGACTTTTTTTTGAAGTCCGTCTATGTACAGAAGCAAAATTACGAATAGCATTTCGAAGAGTCACGTTCCCCTCAGAGATATCAGAAGAGTTGATGACTGAATGTAAGGCCCGATTATATGCTGCAAATGAAGGATTGCACAACAATGAATAAAGTCAGATTCTATACAATTCTCCTACTTCTTTTACCTATTAGTAACTTCTTTACCCAAAATGCCACTGAATAAACGATTATTGAATACTTAGAATAGAGCAAGCACTCTGTAAGCAAAGGAAAGAGAATACAGAAAATGGCAGCAGAGTTAAAGTTGCAGGGCAGTACTTCCACACCACAGGCACATACCAACAGTCACAATAACAGGAAGACAGATATGAACCAACAGCTAGGGAACACTGGACGGATTTGAGAAGCTGTGCCATTTAAAGTGGGCTTTGGGGATTGACAGGAGGAGAGAAAAGAAGGCATTACAAGTAGAGAACAAAGCGGATGAGATGCAGAAGTGTACGAAGAAGTTGGTGAGGCTGCAGTGTGGCCTGAGACCATAGAGAAGTACATAAAATATATCATGCTTTCACTGTTATGAGAAGTTTAAAGTAAGGGAATGATAAGATTAATAGGATGGACACATTCATATTACAGAGATGAAGCACACCAACAATGGAAACACTGGCAACATTTTCAGTGTTATGTGAGGCTGACCGAGCTCCTGTGTTCTATAAGTCCATTTAGTGATGGACAAGAAACATTAGCAAATACTAGAATGATTCTATTCTCTCAGCTTGGGACAGTATTTTTTTGTTTGTTTGTTTGTTTTCCCAGACAGGGTTTGTTTATGTAACAGTCCTGGAATTAAGCTTTGTAGACCAGGCTGGACTCAGACTCACAGAGATCTGCCTACCTCTGCCTCCCAAGTGCTGGGATTAAAGGTGTGTGCCACCACTGCTTGGCTACTTGGGACTCTTGACAGAGGTCCTTATCCTTCTCTGTTTCACCAGCGGAATAAACAGTCTAATTATGTGGGATTCCCCTCCATATGCTGTGAGTATATTTTATTGTCA